TGTGATAAGAGTTGTACGAGCCTTGAATAAAATGAATTAAAAAAGAAAAAAACTTCCTTAGGAAAAGTTTTAAGAAAATAAAAACCCACATTGATGAGAAAAGGGCCAGAAAAATTGAACCAGGCAATTTTTTTTAATCATGTTCATTCTTGGAAGGTAGCAAGTGCTGTTGGATTTGTATCACAAACTGGCTACCATCCAGAAAACTATAATAGACAAGTATTAACCTAAAAAAAATTTTTGGTGAAGCTGTAATGTCAATCAAAATAGACACTACAGGAGTAGATACAGTTACTCGATAACTAGAAAAGGTGAATTCATCAAGGGTACATAACAATTTAAATATGTGCTGGTTAAAAAGCCTTGAAATAAAAGATATAATTATTAATGTTGTTGGGAAAAATTCATTAATTGTTTAAGAGATTTCAACATAATACTTCTGGGATTAAAAATAGTTGAGATCTCAGATTTTAAGGCCCTAATGACTATCAAAGAAGAAAGAGGCTGTGACTGCAAGGCCAGTAGTTTGCATCACCAGATGCTCTGAGGCGAAAGATGGGTTTTCGACACCTGTAAAGAATGATATGCTCTTGGAAACGTGAAAGGGGCAGAGTTCTACCGTGTAGTATAAGATTGCTTCAGACTTGACTTGATGGCCTTAAGTGAAAAGAAATTAATACCACAGCCCCAAAGGGAAAAGAGCCTGGATAGGCATTTATGGAAAGAAGAAATATCTATGACGAATCAACTTATACAGGAGTGTTTGGTATTGATCATCAAGAAAATGATAAACCACAGTGATAACTTTTTATTCTTGTGTGAGAATACTATTCAAGAGGATGTGAATCAGTAGACCCTTTGCACATTTCTGCTACAAATGTGAACTGATGCAGTCACTTTGGAATAGTTGGGCATTATTACTGTCACCCTTGAGCTCTTTTACTCCTAGGTATGAACTTGAGAAAGCTTGAACATAGTTAGCAGAAAGCATACGATATAAATGCCATAGAACATTACTCACCTACACAAATGCTTATCAACGGGAGGACTAGTGCATAAACTGGAATAGTCACGCAACTGAATAGCAGTCAGATCAAACTACCAACTTGAATCAAAATGGATGAGTCTTAGTAATGTAAAGTGGAAAAAAGTACCCCAAAATTATATGTAGGAAGAAATTCTTTTCATGAAATTAAAAATAAAATGAATGCTAAGAATATGTGCAGTTGTGATTACTGATTTTCAAAAAAAAGGAAGAATGGGAACTTCAAGGTGTTTTCCTTAGTTGGGAAGAGGGAGATGGTGAAGGGGCCCTACTTTTTGTTTCAGATGGCAAGCTTGTAGATGTGAGATGCATTATTATTTTTAAAATACTTAATCTAATTCTGAGATTTCCTTAGAATGCCACCAGGGAAATGAAATAAACATGCTGCTGGGACTTCTATTTCTGGCATTCTAGTGGCCATATAAACTGGAAAACACTGCTGTTCCTAAATAATGTAGAAGTTTCAGATAAAATATGGCAGGACTTTAGATGCTAATCAAAGAAGTCACGAATGTAATAGATGTGTATGTCTTTTTAGAGTCCAAAAACATATCAGGGATTGGGAGCCAGGTAAATGGAGGGGGAATCTCTAGCTGCCCTGGGAGGGTTAGCCACAGTTAGGGAAATCTAGTACAACGGCCTTATCAATTGATGTTAAACAAGGTGTAGGGGCATGGAGTTGGGAGAAGCCCTATCGTACAGCTGAGACCTTTGAAAGGGTCATACCCGCAGGTGTAGTAAACGACCCACTGAAGAAGGGGGAAAGAACCAAAGCCTTCGAATGACAAACTTTCCTGTTTGCCTTACGTATTTTTTTCTGGGTCACATAGCAGAAGTCATTCCAAGTCTTTTTTATAGTGACACACTCTTTTTCTAAAAAAAACGTTTTTATTGACACACAATCCACATGCCATACAATATAATCATATCAAGAGGAATTATACAATTATTACTCCAATCGATTTTAGAATACTTTTTTTTCATGGTTAAATCACTTTTAAAATGAGTGGTATAATCACCTTTCCCTCCCCCCATGTAAACCCTTGCATCAGGTATTATATCTATACATCTGCTTTTTCTGTGTTATACAAACTGGAAAATCCAACAGAAACAATAAAAAGCAAACAAAATAAGTGGTAAGGATAAAAAAATAATAATACAAAAAAATGCAAGTAATGTGTAAGAAAGAATAGACTACATCAGTATTTAAAAGGCCAGAGAACAAGCAAGAAATATTTCCACCTAGAACAATTTCAGGTTGGCCTAAAACAGAGGCCAACAGACCAAGTATCAGTCTATTGTAATCACAATTACATGAGCCCTACCTGATATTAAAGCTCTTTGAGACCCTTGCCTATGGCTAGAGGGGATCTACCAGTGGTTAATCTGACCAGATACTCTGCAGATCAGTTTTGGGTTCCCACTATCCTCCTTTGCCTTCTACAAATTGGGTGTTCGCAATTTAGCCTCTGATACTTTTCCCTTTGTCATCTTTGAATTTTGTTACTATCTCTGGATCACACAAGCTGGTCTGGTGTGCTTCTTCCTTGTGGACTTTAGTTGACTACTTGCTTAGATGGCTGCTTGTTTGAATACAAGCTTTTAAGACCCCAGACACTATTCTGATTGATAGCAGGTACCATCTGGTGTCTTCACCACACTTTGCTGTAGCACCCTTATCTTCAGGGAACATTTCATGAAGGTTAGTACCAAGCAGGGCCATGATAACAGAACTAAATGTTCTTGGATTGGGGCTAGAGTTCATTGGGGGCCCAGAATCCATCTGCTTGTCCCTGGGATATGCATGACTTTGGTTTACTTGGGTGGTTGTATTATGATACAGTCAAAATCCCAGAAGACCAACTACCCCAACAACAACAACAAACCAAATAGCAGACCCTAAAAAACAAGTAAACTAAAGACAGGAAAACAATACCCATAGAAACAAACATAAAACATGGTCAATCCTCCCCCTGGGGTATGAGGCGCTTGCACTTAGTAACATCAAATTTTCAAATGACACAGCACTCTGGACACTTGTCGGTATGAAGAATCTATGCAAATGCAGTTCCATCATGAGCTGTTACTCCACACAGTTGGATCTCCCATTCGATTTTAAAAGAGACACTGGAACGTCTACCAACAGACTAGGAGGAGTGTTTCTAAGAGACTAAATAAAGTAGAGTATCTAAAAGTGAGAAACACGAAGTGAAAACTTCATAGATGAGTTAGATGACTGGGTGTTTGCTTAAGAGAGAGTTAATAAGCTTAAAGGCTTGTCAAACAGGTTACCTAGGATGAAATGCAGAGAGCCAAAGAGATGGAGGGAAAACATGTTAGACATGGAAGATCTGGTGAAGTTTAACATAGGTCCCGAGAGGAAAGAAGAGAAGGGATGAGGAAAAGATGATCATACTGGTTAATTTTCAAAGTCTGAAAGGCACAAATAAAGATGTATAGCACATTCAAAGCCAGAGATGTAAAGGGCAGATCTTCATCTAAACCCATTGTAACGCCTCAGGAAAATCGGAGAAAGGACTACTTTTTATGGAGCCTCAATTTTGACAGCCAACCACAAATAAAAAACCCAGAAGACAATGGACCTATTTTCTTCCGATATCAGGATGAGTTCAGGGTGCTGTGGCCATAGACCCAAGTTTTCTTTCATAAGCTAAAAAAATACTATTGACCTAGAAACATATACTTAAAGTACTATTCCTAAGACAAAGCCGAAACTAAGGGTTGGGAGGAGCGTGAAAGAAAGACTAATAAAAGGCTGAGATCTTTCATTAATAACAAGTCTTTATCCACTCAAAAATTAATGCTAGCCTTTTAATATTTTGATAGTCATAAGTGTTATATGAGTTAGCTGCTATTTTGGGTAAAGGCTTTTAGTACTAGTGAATATTCAGGTTATAATATGTCATGAACAGATTTTCCTTTTCCTTTGTTCCAATTCATTTAAACTGTATATCAACTCTTTTAAGAGTTAGGTTATATTTATATTTTATAAATGAAGAGACGGAATCAAAAGACTTAGTCATAGAAAGTGGTGCCTGGGATGTATATAGGCAGCGAAGCTCCAGATACCACACCACGTGCCTTACAAACATGCCCCTTTAACTTTGTGTTTTCTTTCAACTTTGTATTTGAAAATACTTTTAGAAAAATTTTAAGACCGAGAACAGTAAAAAACACTTAGGTACCCTTTACCTTGGTTTACAAGTTGTTAACAGTTTCACTCTGTATTATCATGTGTTTTCAGATAACTATGTAATTTCTCCCTGAAAGATTAGAGCCTAAGTTCCCAAACTTTGGAATCACCTGGAGATTTGGTGAAACTATGGATCGCTGGGCTGTGTTTGCATCCTAATGAATCTGAATTGCCATGGCGAGGAGCCCAGGGATCTGTAGTTGTACCAGGTTCCCCCATGATTCCAATGAAGTTTGGAAACCTAAAAAGTAATTTTCATGCATCATGGTCCTTTAACCGTAATACTTAAAAATTATATTTCCCAAGAATAGGGATATTTTCTTTCATAGGCACTGTACAGTTGTCAGTAACAATAAATTTAACATTAATATAATACTGTCACTCATTTTTTGAAGCAGATCTTAAACCTCAGAGCCTTTCACCCATAAATAGTATGTAATTTTTAAAACTCTGGAGCTTTTTTTAGAAGCCATAAATGCAATTGTTACCAAACCTAAGATATTAATAATTCCTTAATATATTTCCAGTCATTGTTTTAATGACTGGAATTGATTGTTTCATGAATGATTTATTATGATTTATTGAGGTTGGTTTGTTCAAATAAGATCCACATAATGCATTATTGATAATCTTGTTAAATGTTTTTAAAAATCTATAAAGAATCCTCCATTCTTGATCATGCTATTTGTAGTTATTTACTGAGTGAAATAATGGATGTATTACATTATACTTGGCATGTAGGTTCGGCGTTGGGCTATCCTGACAGCAAGAAACTTGGGAAAAGTGGACAGAGACGATTACTATGACTTGCAGGAGGTTCTAACATGCCTTTTTAAAGTCATTGAGTTGGGACTTTTAGAAAGTCCAGACATTTATACTTCTTCTGTCCTGGAGAAGGGTAAATTGATTCTTCTCCCATCGCACATGTATGATACGACGAACTACAAAAACTATTGGCTGGGTGAGTATCGTACCTACATGGATTTCATGTAGTTCTTCAGAGTATTCTGCAGAGAAAGTTACAATTTCATGAAAAAATGCTTGTAAAATAAAGAATTTCAGTAAGTTCTACACAGGCTCAAGATAATTTCATTTATTCCAAGTCTCACAGTGAACACATCTTAAGTTAATGCTGAGTTTTCTTTTAGTAGTATGTGAAATAATGAGATAATGGATAATACATGAAAGTCACCTTAAATTTGGTGAACTTTCATATAATGTGGTAGTTAACTTACAAATTGCTTTCCACCAAAGTTAGTACCGTTTTCTCCTTTGCAATTGAATCTGTCTAAAGCCTTGAATATGGTATTTTGATTTTTTTTCTTTTTAAAATTTTAAGTCACTTTATTGGGGGCTCATACAACTATCACAATCCATACACACATCAATTGTGTAAAGCACATTTGTACATTCATTGCCTTCATCATCCTCAAAACATTTGCTCTCCACCTAAGCCCCTGGCATCAGCTCCCCATTTTTCCCCCTC